ACTGGAGGGGGCTTCGGGGTCCCTGGATGGGGAGCAGAAGGGAAGGGCATAAATCAATGTGATCAAGCTTTCATTAAATCTTCCCTGGCACAAGTTGAGGGACGGAGAAGACACGGTGAGGCGGCCTGTTCTTCTCCACACACAGAAAGGAAGGTGTGGGTGCGAAATCGAAGGTGGAACAGGTCTCTTTGCCCCTCTCTGAGATGAGGCTGGAGATTCAATGGGTAGATTGGAAACCCTCAGAGATCCTGATTAGATTCCAAGAGGTTGCCGGGGGGGACTTCTGTGCTCTGAAGACACTTCTGACTTATGGGAACGCTAAGAGAGATTTCTGAGAAAAATGCAGTGCTCAGGGATCGCCAATAGCACCTCCACCGTGAAGCTTCCCCTCCTGAGTGAAGGTTGGAAGCCAGGTCTCCCAAGTCCGACACGCTGTCCAGACACCCTCCTGGCTCACCTGGAAGGGTTTTCCGGTTGGGAGAAATGACGCCTGGTCTGCTTCTCCTTTTTCCTGTCTGTGGGAACCGGAAGCAGAGCCTGTGGTTGTTGTCTTGTTCCCAAACCCTTCCCTGACCAAGCTCTTGTCTCACAATTTGTGAGATGCCCCTTCTTTCTCCTCTTGCCTCCCTCTCTCCCTGGTATTGCTTTCCTTGGTGCCTTTCCATTCCCCTTTTCTCCTTTCTGAAGGAGATTAAGAGAGATGGAGCCCACAAGGTATAAAAAAGGCAAAGGCACTTACTGTAAGTTGTAGTTTCCTTTATCCAAGAAGGCCCTGAAACTGATTCCTTTGTTTTACTCTCTCCAAAGGAGTGGGTTAAACGGAGCTGATTTCTCCTTGTTTTTCTCTGGACCTGAAGAGAAGAATCCAGTTCGAAATCCCTCCTACATTTGCAAGGCAGGTAAGAAGATTTCTTTCTTTTCGATCAGGGGTACAGTTAGTAAGAAGCAAGGCATTGTAAAGCTCAGATAAATAAGGCAGTTAAATTTTGCCCAGTAATATCACGAGCATTTTGGGAAGCCATCACCATGGCAGATGCTGAGGAACAGAGAGAATGCTGAGATGGTTGTGATATTTCCTGTTCTTTCTCTCAAAGGACTAAATTGGTACAACCGCCCCCTGTAATTTTCCAGTTCCATTTGCTTCTGCCAACTTCAGTCTGCAGCCTCCTGAGTGACTTCCACGTAGCTACCCCCTGTATTTTTCCAGTTCCATTTGCTTCTGCCAATTTCAGTCTGCAGCCTACTGAGTGACTTCCACGTAGCTCAGTTCTCTGTGTGACCAGGGTCTGCACTTTCCTGATTTCTCATCCATCTTAAGAAAAGTGTAGTTCTCTTATGTGTCATTATAGTTCTGCCATTCTCTGCTGTCCCATCAAGATTTGCAAAGTTTTTTTTTACATTTTTTTAATTATTAGATTGCACCACATAAGCCTAATACCACATAGAAAAAACACGCACAATAAAAATACAATTACATATCACATAGTGCCACCATCACCTTCAGGGCTAGCATTAAACTTCACTCAATCCATTTTCCCTCCAAAAATTCATCGTTTCTTCCCTCAGTGTATACCCCTTTTTTTCCTGGGCTTTCTTTTTGTCTCCTGACCACATGGCCTGGGGGTGGGGCCTAGGGGTGGGACTTCCTGCTTTAAAAGAGCGTGTCACAGGACCGCGTGCCTAATGGCGTGCAAAATTCTCAAATTTTGTATCTGGCCTTAATATGGTAAATAGGAAAGCAATTAGATTTGCATAAGCCTGGGAGTCTGGAAAGTTTTAAGGATCAGATCGTACTTTTGCACTATTAAAGAGCAGGCCAGGTAGGTGGGGCTCGTCAGCCATGGAAGGCAGCCCATCTAGGAGAAGGAAAACTCCGATTTCAAACCTCCAGTGCCTTGTGGCTATATCCACTCATGGAAAAGGCTTCAGGAGTTAACCTCGAGGCAAAAGCCGGAGCTGGAGTCCCGAAGGAGCATGTTGTATTGGCTCTTGCCTTTCCATTGGATCATTTCAGCAATGTGGAGAGGGGGGATCTGCTGCTTGGGTAACAGCCTATCCTCCATATTACTTTATCCAGGCTTCATGCTCTGGAGAGAACACTCCTCGATTCAGAGCATGTTACCATAGTCTCTTGAG